ACAGAAACATTACTTGTCCTACCTGAATGTTGTCAAACTTGAGGCCGGGCATGGTAAGGTTCTCCTTGTCTATGAAAACAGTGCCATACTGCTGGGTCGCTACTGACATCAGAACCTCCCTGGTCTCCTGGCTGGGAAGCCATGCGTCATTCCTCCGGTCCATCTCGCTCATGCTCAGGGCTGTGGCGAAGGGGTCATCACTCCCAGCAAACACAGTCTGGATCTGTGAGAATGGCTTTGGAGACTCAGAGACATCCAGAGGGGCCGGAGAAACACCCGGTTCTGATCTATCCATCCTTGTAGAGTAAGATGGGCTGGGAGAATCTGATGACTTTTCTCCTGTAGGGGTAGCCAGTGAAGACAGCTTTTCTGGAACTGGGGAACCTGCATTGGGATTACTGACCGAAATGAAAGTAGAAGTTGTGAAGGAATCAAAGAAGTCAGAGGCCAAGGAATTAGAGCTCATTGTATCTCCAAAAAATGTACTCAAGCTGGGACTGGGCTGAACCATCGGAGGAGGGGTCTTGGCCGACATCTCACTGGTGCTACTGAAACTTGGAGATTTCACCATCTGGGACTGGAAGCCATCCTGCAGAAACAAGTGTGGCTGCGAGGGAGTGGAGGTGGCCTGGCTGAAGATGGTGCAGACAGGCAAGGGCTCGTCTTTGGAGGAGGACTGACTGGAAGACACTTTTGCAGTCTGCTCTTCGGGGGGTACTTGGCTATCCCTAGGCTCCACGTCCTCCGTGCCAGCATTTTCCAGTGCAGGCATGCTTGTCACATCTTCCTGGGTTGAGTCCTCTTTGGGAGAGGCTCTGCTGTCAGGCGTCATGTCTGAAACATCTCTGGGCGTATCGTCTCCATCAGTCTCACTGCCATTACTCAGAGTGTCCACGGCTTCTTTGTCTATGGCACTGGGCAGTCTGTGATCAGTGGCACTTCTGGGGGGCTCTGCAACGTCCTGCAGACAGCCGAGGTCGCCCACATCACCCTCACTGTTGTTAGGAGAGTCGGAGATGAGCACGCTCTCCATCATGTGCTCGTTAAGCCTATCTACAAAGTTGTGAGAGTCTTCGGATGTTGGCTCGTTCTCTTCGGATCCAAACTCATCTCCACCAAGATCAATGGTCTCCTCGTGATACAGCACCTGGCCCGATTCCTCTTGAGATACCCGCTCAGGGAGATTTTCAGGCCCTGTCTGGGCAGGAGGAGACGCCTCACTTGGACTCTGTTCACCATCTTCAGCTTTTTCCATGTTGTCTAAAAAATAGACAGTCACAAATCACATCACTGTCTTATTTCAAGAACTGGGAAATAACTGGCTTTTCTTTTCTGGAAGAGGATCTCACATAACCTGGGTGGACTTGAACTCACAACCTCTGCAGTTCTGCGACATAGGCTATGCTACTTTTATTCTGTGGCTCAAGGAAACAAATGTTTAATAGTTCCCCATCCAAACAGCACAAAGTTAGAAATTTATAATTATGATAAATTACATTTAAAATTTACTAGCCGCCACCATTTTTATGTGTACAGTTCAGCAATGTTTAATACATTCTCCTTGTTGTCCAATCAACCTCCAGAATTTTGGCCATTTTGCAAAACAAAAATTCTGTACCCATTTAGTAACTCTCTCTGTACTCACACATGATAAACACCATCCTACTTCCCAGTTTTTGGAATTCTCTGGGGATCCATAGAGCTTTCATCATGATGCCCTTCATCCATTGCAATATCTAGTTATCAATAAACAAATGCTGGGTGCACTTATTGTGAAGCTCAGATCTGCCCTGGCCTGCACCTCAGGCCACCATGTCTGTCCATAGGGTCCTCCAAGGGCCCTGTCTGGGTATAGGCTGAGAACAGCAACAGATCTGGAGAGTAAACATAAGCTCTTGAGAACAGCTAGAAGGTACCCATTGGCAACAGACACTGTGAGGCTCATCCATGGAGAGGCTGCTCTGCTCTGCCCTCAACTCAGAACTCCAGCATGACTGCTGCCTCCCCAGCAGACTCCGAGGGATGTTGTGGGCATCCATTTGATGATATCCTTTGCGCTTTCTCTCAATCAGGCCACTGCAGTCTTCTCTGTTGGATGTTGTAAGCCCTGACTGGATGAGGTTTTGTTGTCTACTTGTGGTTTCTGTCTCTATGTGCTATCTGTTCTCTTTGCTTCCTAAATGCTCACTCATCTGAACTGCAAGCTCAGCAATCACAGTTCATTCTCCACACTGTACAAATCATCCGTGCTGCAGCATGTATGGGCCTTCCTTCCCTTTGACAGGTGAATAAGAACACTGCTTTGCAGGCCTGTGGCGTTTGTTCATCCATTCACCTGGGTTTCTTCTAGCCTCTAGCAATTGTGCACAGTGCTTTTGTGAACAGAATGTATGAATGTATCTCCAAGGCTTTAATTTCCATTCTTTGGCACATTCCAATGCCCAGAGATAAACCTGTCCCATACAGTAATTACATTTTTCTTTCTTTGTTTTTTTTTTTTTTTTTTTTTTTTTGTTGAGACAGGGTTTCTCTGTGTAGCAACAACTGACCTGGAACTCACTATGTAGAGCAGACTGGCTTCAAACTTAGGGATCTTCCTGCCAGGCCCGTCCTGCTCCAGTCCTGAGGTTAAAGGCATGTACCACCACTGCCTGACAGTAACCACCTGTTTATTTTCACAAGAAACTGCAGTTTTCCCACTGCAGCAGAACCCCCTTCCATTCCTCCAACAGTGTACACACCCCAATTTCACCACACACTGGCTGGCTACTTATTTTACTTTTACTCAACCTTTTAATATGTGTGAGAATTTGTTTTTATAAATCAAGGTCTTGGGTAACCTAATCTGGCCTTAAATTTGTCACGTGACCGAACACGATACTGAACTCCTGAGCCTCCTGCCTCTACCTCCCAAATGCTGAGATCAGGCTAAGGACCAACGCGGTGTCTTACTGTATTCACTCATTTGTGTATTTATGGTCATAAGATAATCATCTGGAATTAGGCCTCTTCATTCACTATGAGGGTTCTGCAGATCCAAGTCAGCTTATCAGGATTGGTGGCCGACACTGAGCCATCCTGTCAGCCCTCGTTTTAGCCTCTATCATTTCTTTCTTTTTTGAGATGGGTGTGGGGTTGTCTCCCTATTTATCGTACTGACCTCATCCTTACAGTCTTCCCGTCTCACTCTCCTTTACGCTGAGCTTACCGCAATGAACACTGCCAAACAACATTACTCACTCTTTAGTGCTCAGGGTAAGTTTGTCTCTTAAGGCACCCCATCCCTTAACTATCTCTTTACCCCGACTTTGGTTTACTGCAGTGTTATAACTGTGGGGATATGAGACACCGAGGACAGCAGGAGCAAAAGTTGGGGAAGAACAAAAACACTGGTAATATAACATGGGTGCCTACTACGCATGCACAGGAACCCGTACTTTATACATGAGAAACTGAGGTCTGGAAGGTGTGTACCTTTTCCAGAACCACAGGGGGCACGGAATTGGCTACGGTCAAAAGAGCCAACCCCTGCTGGGGCTGCCAAGACTGGCGGATCCCAGCTTTGCGTGGCCGAGAGCGGTGATTACGCGCGGACGCCACCCTCCGTGGGAAGGTCGAGGTCTCCGGCGACCCTCGTCACTGCAACCCGCTCCTCACCTGCCACCCGCCCCTGAGGTCGGGTCCCCCGCGGGTGAAAAGGGTCCGAAGAGATGACGGAAGAGCGGAAATGGACTCAAGATCCAAGCTCCCGCGCGCTTGTGCGTCTGCGCGTGCAGGCCAGTGAGGCCCGACTTCCGCACATGCTCAGTTCGGGAGCTTCTAGCTCTCTACTGGAAGTAGCGCATTTCCGGTTCATGAGCTGTGGGCGTGACCTAAAGCCAAAATGTGTAGAGGGCAAGGATGGCCTTGGTGATTGAAGGGAATCCACAGTCCTTGGACCTGTCACCAACCAAAGGTGCTTTTTCCTAGAACTTTGTCTGTAGTCTCAGAAAAGGCTGTGACAATCTAAGAACACAGCTCAAAAGGGGAGGAGAGTTTATTCTGGAGCCAATGATGATGGGAACACACATTCAGGTCACCATAAATTCTGCTGCCTGACACGACAACAATTTGATGAAGTTTTACAGTAACAAAAAAATAAATAAACATTTTTCAAGCACACTTTGGAAGCAGTGGGTAGGTGGGTTACAAAAAGCGGGAACCCTCTGCTGTAGGCCTTGGGTGCTATCTGATGGCATCTCTAGCTTTGGGATTGGTGAAACTAGTGGCCAGAGGTTTTTACCAGAAAGTTAGTGTTATACGCAGAGGGCAACGGATGACTACTAAGTGGGTAATGTAGCATCATATAAAGCGCTGTCATGATAGTCAGTCAAGAGACTGGCATCAATCACTAACACAGAAGAAACGTGTGCAGATCCAGAACTCCACAGAACCAGGCCAGTGAAGTTCTTGTGGTGTGTTCTTGTCTTCCTGCACTTTCCATACCAGGACATAAGAGCTTCCTGTCTCAGGGAGCTCTGAGCAGTATAGATCGTGGCTTAGCTGTGTCCCTGTGCTAAGACGAGGTGGCCACATGAAATGCACATTGCTGCACCTCACAGCTCAGCTACACCACCATCTTGACTCAAGCTTGCTGCATCTCATGCTTATATGGATGTCTATGTGCCCGTTCCTGAGGCTGGAGCAAAGGTCCTGGTAGTTCGGTTGGACAGTGCCCTGGTGCTCAGCACCACGGTTTAGGAGCTGAAGCACTGCAAATCATAAGGCCCCTTTTAATTGCTCTCTTAGGGCGCAGGGCATGGAAGCTCCAGGGAGCAGCTCAAGAGCACAAGAGCGCCGCCCTGATGGTGGTCTATTGCCACAGCATTTGCTCCTAGCCCCGCCCTCCAACCCAGGATCCCCCGCGGCTGCAGGGCCTCATGAGAGCCTAAATGAGCATGCGCAGTATAAAGACCCTGCCGCCATTGGCTAGCGGGAGAAGCGTATTGATGACGCGACGAAGAAAACAGGAAGTGAGCCGTCAGGGAGTCTGTCTGGGGCTCCTAAGACCTGTTTGAGCCGGGGAATGAATGAGTTCTGGCGGATCGCTTCTGAGGCGGGACTCCGGCACTGAGGAGTGAGAGGCTGGGCAGGCAGAGCATCATGGAGGACGACGCGCCGGTCATCTACGGGCTGGAATTCCAGGTGGGCATGGCGGAGTCCGAGGGTTGGTGCCGCCCAGACGCCTGACCAGCATGGACGAACGCGCGTATTCTGTCTGGTTCCAAGGATTCTGAGCTTGATGGCCCGGTTTTGGGGAGAGGGGACATAGTGTGGCCGAGTGAGGCCCAGGGCTGGCGTGGACGGCAGAGGGTGAGCACTCGGCCCCGCTGGTGTCTTCTTTACACTCGCACTACTGACACCTCCAGGATCAATTATTGAGCACTGACGTGTGTTGGATACTGCTCAGTTCAAGCCCGGCAAAGAGGAGCTTCAGGGGGAAAAGTGCTGGGTGGGTGTTAAGAAGCATTTTGCTCACTCGGGTTGGAATACACTTGCTTTTTTTCCTTATGAACTTTTAATTTCGATAGCTGTTAAATTCTATTTATTCACTCTGCTCCACCCCTTTAAATCATATTCGTAATGTGTGCAGTTTAGGTTACAGATTCAAGTGAATAGTGGGATCAGAGTTTCCATGTCCCATGGAGTTCTTCAGACCAGGGCCATGATTTGCTAAAAATACACTGGAGAGTTCTATCATTTTCAGTGCCTTCCTGGGTGCCCAGAGCTCCCATGCTAAGACTCAGGATGCCTCTTCTACATGCCCTGTCTTTGATTCTTGTCTACTTCTGTCATTTTCTTCATTATCCCGGGAATTATTAGATCTGACATCTAGATGGAATCAAATCCAGTTTAGGCCCATCACCCTCACTCCTTTATTTTGTGTTCCTTCCATAAAAATAAAATCCTTGGACATTGTGTGCCCTTGAACACAGATTTATTTTTTATTTTTAAATTTTTTATATTAATTACAGCTTATTCACTTTGTATCTCAGCTGTAGGGCCTTCTCTCATTCTCTCCCAACCTCAACTTCCCTCCCTTATCTCCTCCCATGCCCCTCTCCAAGTCCACTGATAGGGGAGGTCCTCCTCTCCTTCCGTCTGACTCTAGCTTATCAGGTCTCATCAAGACTGGCTACATTGTCCTCCTCTGTGGCCTGGCAAGGCTGCTCCACTCTGAGGGGGAGGTGGTCAAAGAACCAGCCACTGATGAACACAGATTTATAATGATTACTTCGTGGGGTTGCCCTTGACTTTTCTGATAGGAGGAGAAAGTCAGCTCCATGTAGATGAATCTGTATGCCCATTTTACAGATAAAGGATGATGATATAGATACACAGAGAGGGCCATATGATGGGGATAAAGTCTGACAATAAGGGAGATAGTGAGGTTCTGCCTAGATATCTGTACTGAGCCTGTTGCGGCCATTTAATCTGTCCAGGGTATCCGTGTTTTTTACCTACAAAATGAGAAGAAATGTGGACTATGTTCAGATCAAGTTTTAGTGTTCCTTTTGAAACCTAAGTACAGTTGGAAGTTACTGGGAGATATATCATAGACATGGAATGCCTATCTATGGACTGTGATCATTGGCAAATAAGATGCATAGCTGCAGCAGCCAGTGTAAGCATCTAGACTCAAAGTGTGCAGGCAACCCTAACTGAGACACTGCACATGTATGCTCAATGAACTGTGTTCAGATTGCTCTGTGTGCAACCAACAGACAGGCTCCAAGCTCAGGCAAGCTGATGTATGGACAAAGAATGGTGGAAAAGGACAGGGGAAGGTTCACTTAAAATCTGCACAGAGAAGGCGGGAGCAGTGGTGCACAGCTGTAATCTCAGCAATCCCAGCACTCGGGGGAGGCAAAGGTAGGCAAGATCTGTGTGAGCTCAAGAATAGCCTGGTTTACAAAGCGAGTCCAGGACCCCCAGGGCTACACAGAGAAACCTTGTCTCAAAAAACCAAAACAAAATGAAACAAAATCTGCCAAAGAAACAACACAAAGTCAAGACACAGAAATCTTGTACTGGGGAGAAGTTCAGTGGAAGTTTCAGAAGCACTGAAGTTTCAGATCCCCCCAGATCCCTGCTGGGGGGATCAGGGAATGCTACTGGTCCTGTTCCAGGGTCAGCCTGCTGCTTCCTGAGGAAGCCTGTGTGCTTGGGGGCTCCCAGAGATGTTTGCTTGATTTCAGAGGTTTTAAAAATTTATTTATATATTTGTTTATTACACTTTATTCACTTTATGTCATCACTGCAGCCTGATTTCAGAGGTTTTAAAAATGATTTATTTTTATTTTGTGCGCATGATGTGCCCCACACGTGTTCCTGGTGCCCGGGAGGTCAGAAGAGGGCTTTAGATGCTCTAGAATGGAGTTACCGATGGTTGTGAGCCACTTGATGTGGGTGTTGGATCCTCTCCACAAGCAGCAAGCGCTCATAGCTGCTGAGCTGTCTTTCCAGCCTACATTATTTACTTACATCTTTTTGGTTAGTCACACTAACAGCTTTCTAGATTGTGGGTAATTCCTAAATTCTGGGAAGGGATTCCTATGCTGGATCCAGCTTACTTACTGACAGTTCTCTAGAAGTTTTTGTTCTCGTCAGCATGTGATTTTCTTGGGAGGATGCCTTTATCAGACCTGGGAGTTCCCATGCTTCAGGCTGTGTAATGGCAGGGCAGCATGGTACTACCTCCCCCTGGCCTCTCAATCTCACGTTATCGTAGAATAGTTCCTGGTGATAGCTGTTCAGGCTCCTTATTTCTTTTAGATTTACTTTTATTTTCTGTGTATCAGGTGTTTTGCCTGCTTGTTTGTCTGTGTACTACATGTGTACTGATGCTCATGGAAGACAGAAGAGGGTGTCAGATCCTTTGGCATAACAGATGGTTGTAAGCCGCTGTTTGGGGGCTAGGAATTGAACCTAGGTTCTTGTCAATAGCAGCAAATATTCTTAACTTCTGAGCCATCTCTCCAGACCTTCTTTCTTTTGAGATAAGTTTTGGTTAAGTATTTTCCTGTTGGAATCCATTCATTATTTGGTTGACAAATGTCTTAGCTGGCTTGTTACCCCCATTTCTCTCCACTCCCCCAAGTCAGGGTTTCTCTGTGTATTCCTGGCTGTTCTGGAACTCACTTTTGTAGATCAGGCTGGCCTTGAACTTACAGATCTGCCTACCTTTGTCTCCTGAATGCTGGGATTGAAGGCATACACCACCACCACCTTATTTAGCTTGCTATTCTATTGCTGCAACTTGGGGAGGAAAGGATGTATTTCATCTCACAGGTCTATTATGAAGGAAAGTCAGGGCAGGAACTCATGGCAGCACTGTGAAGGCAGGAACCAAAGCAGAGACCATGGAGTAGTGCTGCTTACTGGCTTGTTCTCAAGCTCATAGTCAGCTCCCTTTCCTGTATCTCTCAGGACCACCTGCCCAGGACACCAATCATCAATCAAGAAAATGCCCTCCCCCTCGACTTGTCTAATTGTCAGTCTGATGGAGACATTTTGTTAGTTTTCAGTTTTGACAGTTTGTCAGTTCAAGTTTCTCTTCCCAGATGACTGTAGCTTGTGTAAAATTGTAAAAAAAAAAAAAAAAAAAGACCAGGATATCAAGTAACTACTTAGTGCCTATTGGGTTCCAGGTCTTTCGTGTGTACTGGATCACAGCAGAGTTGAAAACAGAGAGGTTATAGCTTTTGTGCATCCCAATCACCCATGCCAAGGGCAGAGGTGTTTCTGTGGACACTGTGGACAGGATTTTTGGGTTCAGTTGATCAGTTGGCTTTTTTGGTGCTGGGATGAAATGTGGGGCCTCCTGCGTCGTAGTCAGGTGCTCTATCACTGATCCATGACTTCTTTAAAAATTCATCAAGTAGCTGTTTCATATATGCATTTTTATTCTTTTTTTTTCCTTCTTTCTCTTCTCTGCTCCTTCAGTCACCTGCCCTCCATCATTTTTACTGGCTTGCTCTCCTGGTGCTGTGGTGAGGAGGCTGTTTGTACAGGGAGCCTTCTGATTGCAGGAGAAGGCTAGCCTGGCCCTGACCTTTAGAGTAGCACAGCACTTCCTCACTGCTTCTCTTTCTAAGTTGGCATTATTCTTTCAAGGCCACTGCTTTTAGACACAGTTGGCTGTCTGCTGTGTAGTTAGGCATGTATTTTACATGTTAGTAAGCAGCCAGATAAGATGCTAAGCTTCCAAAGGGAGTGCTGTATACTCCTATAGTTCCTGGTGACTATTTTCTGCCATTGTCTCAACCCCTCACCAGTTCCAGCCTTTCATTGTCAGCTTGAAATAGAGAAACTCATGTGAAATAGTCATTCTCTCTCAGTTGGGTCCTCTCCCTGGTCCTGTTTTGGGGACTTTAGTCCATGTATCTTCTGTGTGAGCCCAAGTTGTATTTGAATGTCTTTGTGTACTAATCTAAAGGTGGAACCCTACCCATTTTCAACTCCCCAGGGTGGGCCTGATTCCTGGCCTCAGTGCTGCCTTCTTCCTTTCAATAGGCAGTATGGTCTAAGCTAGGTCCTTAAGGCCCATAGAGTTCAGAGGCTCTGCATTGTTACTGATAGGCCCCAGTTTTTGGTACATGTATATGCAGATTTCTAGATCCACAAAGGATTATCAGTTTCATATAAGGCTGTCCAAACTGTTTATCCAAGAGTGCAGAGGGGAAGGCAGGAGTGGACAAGTGCGTCAGCCTGCTTTGCATGCTGAGTAGACACCTCAAGATGTTACAGTGTGTATGCCACCATGGACAGGTATTTCCTTCATTTATTTACATACACCATCGAGTTTTGTGCTTCTGTCCCTGGAGAAGGGTGGAGATATAGAGGCAGCGTAGTTGAGTCTTCTGAAATCTAAAATTTGTACTAATTGCAAAAACAGTATAAACAGTACAGACTTAATGGTCACGACAGCTGTTAAACTCTTTCTCTTACTCATTTTCAAAGAAAAGAAAGAAGGAAAAAAGCACATAACTAACTAAATAAAAATACTGCTCAGCTGTGGCAGTCAGGAAGTAGGCCGTTTTGGGAGAAACAGCTGTAGACAGTGGGGCACATCAGGTGAGCTTGGTGAGGGAGGAGCTTCCTGTTGCTGCTCTAACAAATTACAGAAATTTAAAGGAGTCCACCATTACTAGGGAGAAGTCTCACACAGGCCTCTCTCGGCTGAAACAAATTCACTGGGAGGTCTTTGTCACATGGTAGCACCTGTAGTCTTGCTTTTCCAGCATCCAAAGCTACCCACATTCCTGGGCACATGGTTCCGTCCTCAAACTAGAGCCAGCAACAGCTGCCTGAGTCCTTGCAGTTCCTTGACTCTTTCTTAAGCTACCGTTACTGTTATTGGAGGCTCAGGGTACTGACAACCCAATGTCTGAGAGGAGTGTTGAGCATAAAAAAACATGAAAGGAAAAGAGGGAGTTTTGCTCACAAATTAGCATCTCCCTTCAAGAAGGATTATGGGGGGAATGATGAGGGGAGAGGATAAGGAATGGAGGGGTATTTATGTCTTTTCTGAGAATGAGGGAGAGCTTCCAGGAACACAGGGTGGCCCCTGTCTTTCCTTCTTCCATGATGGGGAGTTACCAGTCAAGGTTGGTTAAGCATCTTTAGCTTTGAAGTGGGAGGAGAGAGTTAAATCTAGGTCAAGTAAGTCTAATACTACAGTTCAAAATCCTTGTCAGTGGCCAATGTGTCTATGCACAGAATAATAGGATCTATCCTAAAGATAAGGCTGCCAAGGAGAACAACACTAAACCTCTTGCTCTGCTCTAGTCACCCATGAAATGCTACACACTATGTGAAGAGTAACTTCTCAGTAAAAATGGTCCAGGAAACTTGTAACCCCACACAGAAAAACTGCTGTCTATGGCAAACTAATAATGTGTGGCTTAGCTGTGTAACCTCCAGATTAGCTGGTCTCCCTTCTAAATTTCTGAGGGAGGGTCTCATTATGTAGCCCAGGCTGGCCTTGAACACATGACCCTTGTGTCTGCCATCATGGGCATGCAGTACCACATGCAAGTAAGAGCAAATGAAACTGGAGGGTTGATTGCAGCCTCCCTCTGTAGCTCACCTCTGGCTGCTGAAGCCTCTCTCTGTAGCACACCTCTTGCTGCTTTGTTTCCACATGGCTGTGACTACAGCCACAAGAGTTTTCCTGGTTTCAAGCACCAGTGCGATTTACATCCTTAACATTCTCTGCTTCCCCAGTCCTTGACTTAATGGAAGCTGCACAGTCCCTTTGCTCTGTGTGTGAACACAGTCATGTATCTAGGAATCAGTATGTAGCCATTTTTAATGAGCCATTATTTTGTCTACAGCAGAAATTAATGTGTAAGTACAGGGTCTTGGCCCTGGGTCCTTGTAATGATTGGGCTGAAAGAGCTGGAATTGCATCTGGTTTGAAGCACCATTCAGAGGTGCTTTTCTTCTCAAAGTGTGAAATTCTTAATTTTGCCTTTTATTATGATTATGCTCTAATCATAGTTACTGCTGTTGATGCTGGCTTTCGTTTCCTAGACTTCACCTTTAGGAAGGCTGGCACCTTCTGACCTTGGTGGTGGCTTGTAGCTCTTAGTTGGGGCCTGTAACTGGAGGTGGCTTCACCTGTAGAGGCACTTTGTCCAGAGCCATTCTGCATTCCAGTTGTTTAACTGTGGTGCATGGTATAAAGCCTAGCCCTTTGTTTCAGCTCTGAAGGGCCATCCAACTCAAGGCTCCCCAACTGGTAGACCTTTGAGAAAAATGCACAAGCTTCACTTTTTCTCATGCATATCCTATAATCTTAGAACCTGTTTCTGAGGAAATAGCAATGTGGGCTTTCTTCCCCTTTCCATTTTTCTTTTTCTTTTCTTGTTTTTTTTTTCCCCATGTGGTTTTATGTTACTGTGAAATAACCTTGTTTTGGTTGAAGGCTAGGTTTTCTGCATGGTGACTTTGGATATTCCCTTTCCATGGAGGACTTATTGCTGGCAGGTTTCTCCTAGCCTGGGAGCAGGGGTCTGCTCAGTCCTCTTCTTTCAGATCAGGGATTGAGAGCTTGCACAGCTTCAGTCTGTGCCAGCTGTTCTGGTTACAGTTCTGCTCCCCCCCCCCCCCCCCCCCCCCCCCCCCCCCCCCGTGTCCCTGTGTGGTGAGAGCTGTGCCAGCTTCTTGATGGTGGGCCCTGCCCTGTGCATATTTGCATCCTAAGCCTCCTACTCTTGTCACACTTTTCCACGGACTTAAACCTGCAGATACAATGTAGCCTGATCCTCGGCTCCTTGACACATTAGGAGGCCTGGAGGCCGACTTTATTTTGCATAGCTTTTCTAGTTCTTTGCAGGGAACTTGGCTTAACCTACCTGCATTGCATCGCTGGAAGCCATTTCTGTTGTGTTATTTTGATGAAGTGTAATTTGTTGAACCAATCTATTTATTGCTGACATGGTGGTTTTATTACCCAACTTAACTATTGCTGTGTAAATAATTTGTATCTTTATTGCTTAGATTAGTGCCCACTTAGAGTTATTTCACGTACAGATTTGAAGTGCAATTGTGTTAGGAGTGTGCAGTCGCCTCTAGACACTGCTGATTTATCCTTCATCTCAGCAGATGAGATAAGCCGACTTTTCTGTGTCTATTAAGCCTAACTTCATAAATGTGTATGCATTTCCTCCCTCCTCAGGCACGGGCTCTAACACCTCAAACTGCAGAAACAGATGCCATTCGCTTCTTGGTTGGGACACAGTCTCTTAAATATGATAATCAGGTAACTATTTTTGACAAATGTATACATGTTAATTACTAAGCTTATTCTTAGTTTCATATCCATTTTGCTCTTGATTTTTCAAGCAACATTTTAAAAAAATTTAATGCCACGCAAACAAAATTTTTCATTAGATTTAAGCACATATTTCCAAGTCATAACTATTGCCCAACTAGATTTAATGATTGATTACAATAATTTACACATTCTGTTTAGTGCTTCTTTTTTTGTGTTTGTCCATGGTATATGTACGTGTGTCTGTGTGTGTGAGAGAGACCGTATAAGTAACAACCTAAGATAACTTACTCTGTAGCCTGACTGGCCTGGAACTATGTATATCAATGTGGCCCAAACTCTGCCTCTGCCTCCTGAGTGCTGAGATTAGAGATGTATGCCACCAAGCCAGGCAGTAGCTTATACATTGAGGTGGGACTGCTCATCACTTTTGATTTGTTATTGTGTCAAGTGTCCCCAGCCCTCAGGAGCTGTACCATGCCTGGTCTCTGTTACCTTAAATTGTGTCATCTGCTTTTGAACTGAACTCGAGGGCAGGGAGAAACTCAGACACTGTTTTTAAAGGTGGTTGTTTCCTAATCTGTCCCACAGGGAAGGGGATTGTACCTATGTGTGCTGGGTTGGTTTGTACTAATTGTTCTGGTCAGCGTTGTATGTGGCTGGCACTGGCCATCCTAAGCCCTTGCTGGGATTGAATTCCGCACTGATGAGTACAGAGTGACTCCTGAAGAGGAGAGAGAACCATGGTTAATCAAGAGGCCTTGTGAAGCAGTACCACATAAAAATATTGCTAGAAGAGAGAATCATGGTTAAGCAAGAGTCCTTTTGAAGCTGTTGCTAGCTATTGTGTAAACCTTTAGTATAGTATTGTTTTGATCGCCAAAGTCACACATATTAGTCATTAGAAAACCCATAAAAAATACAAAGCACAGAGAGGCAAAGGCAAAGGTGGTGGCTCCAACCTCGAGAACATTTCCTTTTATTTCCACTCATCTGGGGACGTCTATACTTTTTAAAACAAAAATGATGCCATGTTTATGTAGTTGTTTGTATGTTCCTGTCTCTTTAAATCTATTTCATGGACACCTTTTTGTGCTGCCAGGCACTGACCAGCTTTGTGTGGTTCTACTGCAGCCAAGTGCTGGCAGGTACCTGAACTTGTCCTGGGCATTGAGGTGGCCTTGGCTCTTTCATTACTGTAATCAGTGCCACTGGGGAGCTTTTTTAGAAGAAATCTGTGCATCCACATTACTTTCTTAGTGTGTGTGTACGTGTGTGTGTGTGTGTGTGTGTGTGTGTATGTATACATTTTTTTTAAGTAAGTGGTTTCTATTGGCTTAAGTACTGATCAGAGAGATTGAGTGTGAAAATCATGTCAGTTCCTGTAATTTTTTTTTTCCAGAAAAGCATGGAGATGACATAGTTAGCCTTCTTACTCAGAGACCTAAATTTAACAGTTGTAATTAATAGTATATAATCATAGATGCTGATATGTTGGCCTCATTTTTTTAAAAAGAAACAAAAAATGTGCTAAAATACAGTCTTATCCCAACTCAGTGACTGCTGCCTTGAGTCTTGCCCATCACAGCGGGACTAGGCATACTTTACCCAGTCCCACTGGACAGTAGCCCCCATGGTCACCCTTTGACCAGCAGCATCTACAGTTTTATTTAAAAAAAAAATTTAGTTATTTATTATGTATACAGTGTTTTGCCTGCATGTATACCTACACACCAGAAGAGGCCACAAGATCTCATTATAGATGGTTGTGAGCCAATCTGTGGTTGCTGGGAATTGAACTCAGGTCCTTTGGAAGAGCAACCAGTGTTCTTAACCTCTGAGCCATCTCTCCAGCTCCTTCCCTCCCCCCCCCCCACAGTTATTTTTAGATCTCACTAGTCAGCAGCCCCTATGGTACCTTTGGACCTCACTGTGTGCTTTCCACTTTGCAGACACAGCAGGTCTGAGAAACTGAGAGGTTAGCACTAGCATGCCCTCACCCCCGAGCCTCTTCAGAGTAGAATTTTTATAGCACCTTAGGATGTTAGGCTGGAGAAGACCAGCTAGCAGCATACTGCAGCTTAGTATTGTAGAAGCAATCCATGTGGACTTGTCACTTTGCCTTTGGGAAGGGGCTCAGTGAGAACTAAATCACAGTGGTGTATACTGTTCAAAGGTTTAGCTGCCACCAAGTTTGCATGTATTTCTTTATGATCACGGTGCTTATTATTTGCCAGGAAAAACATCTGAGATGCTGATTGTTCTTTTCTTTCATTTGTAGATCCACATCATAGATTTTGATGATGAAAATAACATTATAAATAAGAATGTCCTCCTCCATCAAGTAGGTGAGATCTGGCACATCAGTGCCAGCCCAGCAGATAAAGGCGTGCTGGCCACCTGCTACAACAAAAGTAAGTGCTGTGCTTATTGTTCTGTGTGTGTCAGCTGGAGGTGTCATGTGAGAGTGATTCTGTATTGCTGATGGGGCCATTTAGAAGATGTGACCATTCACCTAGGTGCTGCCCATACACACCGTGACACTGGGAGTAGATGTTTGTGCTGTAGGGTTGGTTGCTGTTCCAGGAGCACTACACTGGAAGGGTCCTGAAAGGTGGGCTTTGCCTTTCAGGTGTGTGCATGACGTGAGCATAGCACTGACTTGCCTCCTTCCCACTGCCCGATGTTGGGGTCATAAGGTGTCCCAGCTGGCAAGTAGTCCTCTCTGACAGTAGCAGTGCTGCATATGCATGCTTGCGGGCTATCTATGTGCCTGCCAGGCCTCCACCTGCCAACCCAGTGCTCCAGTCTCTTGGACCTTCAACATTTGTGTCAGACAGAGACAGTGAGCTGATCTCACTTCTCCCTCAGTTCTCCTTGCTCTGTCTGTATGACATTCCTTATGGTGGTTTCTGGGAAAAACCTCTTCTCATGCCATGTTCTGTTGGGTGGCTACCAGGAAGCCTTCTTCTAGAACCTTTTGATTAGACAGTTCCTCCATAGGATTTTCCATATAGTGCTTCTTATTTCTGTCTTAACTTCAAGCCAACCTGTCTTTATTTTAAATATATAGTCTCTTATTAAGTATAAAACAAAGTTAGATGAAAGGTCTTTTCCTCCTGTAATCCATTGAAATGTTTTCTTTTTCCTTCTTCTCTTTTTCCCTCCCTCCCTCTTCTTTTGTCTCTTTGTTTCTTTCTTCATTCCTTCCTTTATAGGGACTTCCTATATAGCCCAAGGTGGTCTTGAATTCTTGACATTTCTGCCTCAACCTCCCGTATGCTTGGGTTATTGATGCCTGCAGACACATTCAGTGCTCCCTACCATGCCCGATGTTCTTTATAGCCTTCATCTCTTACTTTTAGCTTTTTACATGGTATTATTCCATTTGTTGGGAAGACATTCAGATTGAATTTTCCTATCTTGAAAATCTCATTGCTGTGAAGAGATACCATGGCCAAGGCAAATTATAAAAAGAGAGTATGGGAGCATGTTTACAGTTTCATAGAGTGAGTCCATGACCGTTATGTCAGGGAGCATAGTGACAGGCAGGCAGGCATGGCCCAGGAACAGTAGCTGAAAGCTTACCTGTTGAGACTTTGACAATGGGGGGTGGAGGGAGAAAGGAGAGAGAGAGAACACAAAACTAACTGGGAATGATGTGGGCTTTTGAAGTAAAGCTCATATCCAGTGACACACCTCCTTCAATAAGGCCGCACCTCCTAATCCTTTTCAAACAATTCCACAAACTGTGGAGAAGCATTCATATGTATGGGCCTATGGGGGCCATTCTAGCCTCTCCCCATCACCATTGTTCTAGGAGGTGTTAGTCTGTCTGTTGTTCTGTCTCAGTGATATAGCTTTTTCTTATGTCTTCATATTGGCATGGCTGAGGTGGTGATTTTGTTACCTCCCTGCTCTGCTGCTGTATTGAACAGCAGCACAAATGCTGGCCCATGCTACTTGAGCAGACTCTACTTATCTGAAGGTGACTTGTATATAGTCATCTCATTATGATTGCCATGGTTCCATGGTTGCCACACCCATTCTAGCAATCTGCCTCCAATTCTCTAACGCAGGCCTCTATTTTTCCTTGTGTAGGGAGATTGCAGTCTTTCCTGTTTGAAGAAAGCCAAGATTCTGTTCATGAAGGTAGTGGTCTCTAAAAAGTAACATTTAGGCATAGGGGTGATCTTTGTGATTAGCTCAAGACAGCTAACCTTTGTAACCTTCACCTTTGACATATCATATGGTGCTGACAGTCATAGGACATCCCTTCCCTTGGCCACATTAACTCAGTTCTAAGCAGACTACAGGTCCTGTTGCATTCAGGTACATGAAGGTGTGTCCTGGCCTGTGTGCAGAGCCAGTCCTTGACCTCAGAGGCTCAGCCGCAAGGCCTGCTGGGTATCCAGGATGCACCATCTGTGGTGGTAGGTACAGAGTTTATTCTGATGGTATTGTTAGCACAGCTCTTCAGGCACAGTTCCTCTCCAGCTGGTGGTCTGGAGCACCAGACGACTTGCCTGTCACACATACTGTACACAGTATGGCCAGACGTGGTCACTATGGGCATGCCTTTCAGAAAAGGGAGATGGAAGGCATGCTGTCCTCCCAGGTACAGTGTCTTCCATATGCTCATTGTCCTCCATAGGCTCACTGTCCTCCATAGGATCTCTGTCCTCCATTGAGTCACTGTCCTCAAAATGCTCACTGTCTTCCATATGCTCACTGTCCTCCATAGGGTCCCTGTCTTTCATAGGGTCAGTGTCCTCCATAGGGTCATTGTCCCCCCAGGTACAGTGTCCTCCATAGGCTCACTGTCCTCCATAGGCTCACTGTTTTCCCAGCCTCCCTTCATGTCATTCTCCCAGGCACACTGTCCTGAGGTCAGCCTCTTTAGCTTTTGGTGTGTAGAGCTGAGCTTTCCAGTCATCATTGTTGTTCCCTCCTCTCAACAGCTCTTTCCTTCTTTATCTCTCCTCTCACATTTTGACTGTGTCCCACCTGTTGGCGACCTCTGTTAATGCAAAGGCAGAGGTGGTCTTGCTGTGGTTTCTGATAGCATGTGAGTACTTCTCACTTTCTGCTGTCACTTGCTGCCTGTTCTAGACTCACTAACAGCCTGTTGAGTCTATACTATTTTCACTTACCTACATTTCTTTTGAACTTTCTTCTTGAAGTCTCCAAGCCTCTTTCAAGTGCTTGGAGCAGTAGGGTTTGCTAGCAAGGAAACCGATGTACAGTTTCATATACTCCGAGAAGCTGCCACAAAAATGGGCTTTGGGGTAGCCTGGTCCTGCTGCCATGGTCCAGAGTACATGCTGCTGGCTTAGTGGGCATTCTGTTGAGCTCCTGGCAAGTGTTAGGTGGATTTAGAGTCTTGGTGTGAGCCCTGTTTGTGGGTACAATTTAGTTTCTAGAGCTTCTGGATCTGAATGTTATATTGTCTTGACTCTCCCCATGGGTCTTGCCAGCTTTCTGAGGCTGATGGTGATTTGAGCTGCTTACCTGGTCAGCAACAGCAAACAGGTATGCAGAGGAAGCCTTAGTCCTGCTTGCTACCATGTGCATCACTTCTAGTTACCCTGAGTCTTTTCAAGTCAGGACCTTTGAGAGACTAGCTCTTTCTACTAGATATTGAAGGCAGCCTGACCTGCCATTCAGTATTTTCCTGTCACCCTCTCTAGGAAGGAGACAGTTTAGCAGTATTCAAGTCTGAACTCCAGGAACCCTGTTTGCAAGTTTGGTCTGCAGGCAGCACTATTTTCCAGAATGCTAGGCTCATTCTTCTCAGTGTAGCCATCAATAGCCAGTGAACTTGAGCTTCTTAGCTCTTTGCTCTTTGAAGCCATGCTTTGTGATGTACCCATTCTATGCAAATGATCTGTGATGACAGTCACTATCATGGGACCAGGTGCCCACCTCTTCTGTCTCGGTGCCTCCAGAAAACCTTGGCTTTACAGAGCACAAGGCTGCCATGTGTTCTTAGTGAGAACTACCATACTTTGCAAGTGAATGCTTGTGCCTTTTTTTTTTCACATGCAGATTACCCATGAACCACTAGGTTTCCATGCTTTATAGTTTAAATAGGAATTCACTCCACAAGCCCTGCATACTGGGATTAGAACATGATACTTGGGGAATCCCCCTTTGTGTCACTTTTCCTAAGAGAAACAGAGTAGTCCTTTCCCCCAGGGTTTTCCTGGCTGGCTATAGACTTACTGTTATCAGTTGTTGCATCTTCTCCTGTGATCATTTTGTTAGTATGTACTTGTAAAGAAGCCCACTCCTTGCACTCTCCAGTGTGATGTGGTGGGAGGGGTAGCATCTTTCAGTCAAGGCTGAGGCCTTCAAAATGTGTCTCAGAGTGTGCAGCTGGTGGGGTGGACACACATGGGAAGTAGATTGATGAGTTGAGGCCAGCAGGCTTTGGGGAACCATATTTCCATCAATTTGTGTCCTCAGTTCAGTGGCTGTGTCCTCTTTCACATGTGTGCTAAATTCTCAGTGGATATTACTGAGGGGACAGCAGAGAGAACCATGGGAAGGAGTTTTCTAGAAGAGAGTTAGACATGGAATTCACTTGGAGAGGTGTGTCCTTCTGTGGGAATCTTGGTGTGGACATTATTGTCAACAGCAATGCTCAGGATGTATCTTAATTGGGACCTGCAGACTCACCACAGTGATTGGAAGTGTGAGAGTGGTGGCACCTTGATGGCTACACATGTGCTCAGGTGCCTTCTGAGTACATGTGGGTAATGGGATGGACTGGCGGTGCAAAGGAGAAAACCTTCCTTGGTCCTCGGAGAAAAGTAAAGACAGGCCCTTATACACACTATAATACACTACAGTGTGTATTAGAAACATGTTTTGAGGGAGATGCACTTTAGAGGCCTAGCAGAGCAAATACAGTGGTCACTGTGCAGTGCACATCATCTGTGCCTTCAGTGGAGTGCCTGAACCCATACCATTTGTGTTCATGTGTGTGTGTGTGTGTGTGTGCGTGTATGCCTGTGTGTGTGACCTATTTCTGCTGACAGTATCCTTGCTGATACCTATGTAGCAATGACCTCATAGTCAGTAGAGGGCACCATTGTCCTGGCTGTGTGGTCTGGCCTGTGGCCCATCACAGGCTCCCCACATCATGTATTGTGGTGGCCCCATCTTTACTGCTGCACTGATTGGCCACATGGCATTCCTGAAACCTTTTCTTCTGACCCTTCTAGAAGTGTGCTCTGAGTCTCAGACCTTGCCTGGGAGAGATGTCTCAGATTTCCATATATTTGTGGCATCTGCTCTTGTGGTCAGTGTGCATTCATGAAGTGGGCACAAGATCTGTAAAGAATTTAGTTCATAAATTCTCCTAAATTACTCCTAAACCACAGGGATTCATAGATAGGTTCTCAGGGTG